AAATGCCAACCGAACCTTTTGTATTCGCGCCGACACTTCATCTGTGATGCGTCCGCCAGGTGAGATATAGCTGCCTAGATAACATTTGTCTACTTCCTCTACTACTTCTTCAGTCAGGGTGAGACTGGGTGCTGGATCAACCCAATCTTGTAGTAGCATTTTACACTTGGAAGGTGCCATACGCATACCACACATAGCTGCACTAGCACTCAAACTATCCAGAAAAGCTTGCAACTTACCTGGATCGTCACTTAGTAGCACAATGTTGTCTGCATACTCTTGATCGCACAGTCTGCCACCTGGGAGTAAATCGATACTACTATCCTCGCACGAGGATAGGGCTGTTTTCATAATCAGATCTATACCTAAGTTAAATGGTAAAGGAGAGAGAGGGCACCCCTGAAGAACACCATTTTCCGTGGTGAATTCGGGTGAAAAAGTGCCGTAAGCTCGAACTCGGCTCCGGCTGTTAGTATAGAGGGATTGTAATATTGAAATAAACTTCTTGGACATACCTTTCAGGGAAAGGTAGCGCCAGAGTTTAGAGCGGTCGACTGAGTCGAAAGCCGCCTTCAGATCAAGGAAGATAGAAATAGTGGGTCTACGAAAGGAGTGTTTGTGTTCTAGAATTTGAAGAAGAGTGAAGATGTGGTCGATACCACCTCGACCAGGTCTGAAACCAGCCTGGTTCTCACGCGTACAATGTTCACGTGCGGCAGACAATCGACGGAGTGCGATACCAAAGAGAAGTTTAGAGATGGTGTTGATTAAACTAATTTTTCTGTCGTTTTCACGGGAGGATCTAAGGGCTTCACAGTTTCAAACGATAAAGCATAACCACGAAATCAAGTTGATCCAGGTTGAAGCCTCCCATGGTGATGCAACATGAAAACGCAGACGGACAGGTGTTGTCACCTAGATGTTTATATATTTTCTGGGTGACTAATGATGGGCAAAATTATGATTATACATAGATTAAAGGTATTTGACATTAATCGATATGGGTCAACTGTTCTATCTTCTTCAAGGATGCTGTATATAATTCTGTGATTTGGTCGTCCTTACTGCATAGTATCAAGTCGTATTATTTTTGATGGCATTTTGACGTTCTCGTAGCAGTGTGTCGGGTCAATGGAGCAACCGAAACCCTGAGCTCAATGTCCGATGCAGCACATCTGGCAGTCAGAACGGGTCACTGATATGGACGATTTTTCTTTCCAGCTTATAACAGTTGGATTGTCCATACGATATCCGTAACGTACAATATTCTGTCTCTAAGTGTACCAAATCAAATCAAAACCTAGTGAACACAGTTAAACGCTGTTACATCGACAACCACTGCAATCATATTCATTATAGGTACAAAGGTTATACATGAGAGATGTGAAACAAATATACAGTTTCACGTTTGGTTATTGGTTAACGTTTATCAGGAAACGCACAAGAAAAATATACCAAGAATCGGGAACCATAGGTAGGGGAATAGGTGCGAAAACTGGAAGGAAATTGAAAAACGAAATGCAGCAATGACCCCGTAAACGACACGGTCTGCAACATGCTATTACAACCGTTCATGTTTTCGAGCATACCTCCACAATAGCTTTACCTAAATTCCATGGTATAGGAAACAAAAACGGTGCTGATGGTCACGTTGTTGTTGAAAGGGAAAATGTTTTCTAGGTGCGAAGTACTAACAAGGCTACTTTGGTTTCAGTCCGTTCCAAGTGTTCCAAGTTAACCAATTGAATTTTTCGACAGTGTCTGGTGGGGTCAAAGTCAGAGATATCTGGTACACAGTTGACAATGCTTTCCACCACACAAGATTTTTGCTCAAGTGAAGTGCTCAATTTCACAAAGTGGATTATGGCCTCAGGTCTATTGGTCTCAGATCCCGATTATATGCATGTGATGATTCACAGAAGAAGACTGGGTGAAGTCATGGAGCCAAATAAAACTAACCTAATACGGTCGTTGATAGTCATACTAGACCCCACTGGATAAGTTTTGAAAAGGTGGGACGGAAAGGAAAGGCAAAAATAATATGAAATAGTCCCAATCACATAACGGGGGCCACGGAATTGAAGCAAATACCGTGTCTGAGTGTCAAGAAGTACAGCAAAATACTCCAAATCTGGTACACGGGATGAGAAGTGTCGTAGCTAACTCAAGATTACATGCACTCAAGAATGCCGCGGATGGAGTACCACAATGCGCAGAGTGGGGAATGAAACAGAGGGATTCTCAGCAAAGAGAGCAGTGCAAGTAAGATAGTAAGGATGGCGTGATGCAATGATAGCACGACATCATGAACGAATCTAACGTTTTGGTACCCATCAGTGTTGTGATGAATCTGTAACGGCCTGGAATAAGATTTTTGCCGGAAGAAACTTTCGACTACCAGTCGTGGAAGATGCCCAAACAACACGATCATTGGTCGAAATGCTTAATGATTATCTTGTCCCCACGGATGGGAGCAACCGTGATCTAACCCACATCAACTGATCGAGGCGAATGCGGTTGAAAGAAGCTCCATGTACACGGTCATCCGATCATCGGTTTTATTTCTTACAAACAAGAGAATGAATAGACAAAAGACGAGCACAATTGACACAAGTGCACTTACAACATTTGAAGCAACTAACGCTGCTCCAGCAGCGGACAGCCTCCCTTGTTTGAGAACACTTTCAAGATCACCGAGAAATCTGTCCATGATCAGAAACCGACACCGCGATTGTCCAGGTGGTGTAAACAGACCACTGCTGACATATTTTGGAATGCCAAGGAAGTTTAGTCTGTGACGAGTCTTCCATTCGTTAACTGAATTGATCGAGAATGACATAGTCCGGCATTAGAATAACACACCACATTGAAAAGCACTCTCATAAATTTTGTTCAACGCTGACAACAAAAAACATATGGAAATCAAGCGTTGGTTTTTAATGATTATGGAGTGAATTCCAAAATTCGTTTTGACTGAGCCACGAAAACTTGTGCATTTAATGCATGGTTAGCAAATTTAACAGCACCCACATACCTATAGTCGTAGAGGTGTCCAGGATTTCCGCTTACCTAATCTCAACTTGGTACCATCACCAAGGTATACAGAAACTAAGAGCATCAGTGACTTTATGTTACGTGGTTCGATTCTCCAAATGGCATTCGTGTGTGCAGCACGACAGACCCAAACTCCCGTGCATCCCAATAGCTTCAGTGCTTTTGGTCATGTCACTAACTGCATGATTACGAGAAAGTATTCACATGGACTTGGCATGGAAAGTACTTCGCGACCGCATTACACATAACCAAACTAGTTTTCCTCACCCCCAGGTGTCAAACAACCCGAACTAGCAATCAAATTTGACAGAATTCTTCTCCACTGAGTCAAACCCCGCTTTGTCTCCGATATTTCCAGTAAATATGCAAGTTTTATCTGCGAACTCTGATGCGAGTAAGATGACAGGTGTTTAAATCGTACATTCCAGATCTGAGCCAATCGAGTGTTATTCCCGGGAAACTCGTATCCAAGACTCTGGCCTCATTAACCGATTGAACTCCCCTTCTCACCAATTCACTGAGTTTCGCTTGTACCCTTCTGGAGACCCTGAGACTAACAACTCTGGTATTATTGGCGCTGGTGTGGCCCTCAGGGAGAGAGAGCTGCAACCGCCTCGTTAGACTGGATCCCAGCCGAGTCGACTGTGCATAGTGAGAAGTTTACTTTTGTACACAAGAAGCAAACGCGGGCCGGATAGATATAAGTTTTTCGTCTTGCTGTACGCACCCACAGATAGCAGCTCAGCTGCAGTCGAAGATATCATTCAAAGGCTATAAGAATAATGGCATAAGGCGATTCGGGTTGTGGCGGTTTTATAATATGTGAATGTTGGAATATTTCGGAGATCATCGAGTTTGGATTCCTATCTCTCATGAAAATGGAGAAGAGCTGTCAGCTCTATGTTCTAACCACCTACCTCACCAGTACTAACTTCATGTGTTTTAATCGCCAGCGTGCCACATCACATCCTTTCTCTGAATCAGCGATGGAACCTAACCAACCAGAAATTGTGGAGTTGTATTCAAGACTGCCGATCGTAGTGAAGCACTCCCCTCGAATTCGATCACGCATTAGTCTACACTAACCTGTAAGTGTGATTCAGAGGGTGTCAACAACACATGAAACAGACGGTGAAAATGTCATGAGGAGTTTGAGCCAGATTGCCAAACCGTCTTTCTGAACGCGCGGGCTGGAAAGCTGGAACTAACCCCATTTAATAACATAAACCATTACTGGTAGCGCATCAATCACACTTGATATTCGGTTGATCTAGTAAGTTTTAACCTGAGACATTTTTTCAATATCCGGATCTCCAAAGATTTAAACCACCATCGCGGTACGGGCAAACTGGTTTAACTTGCTGTCATTGGCGTAATTTGGGCCTTAGGATAGGAGAATTAAACCCCGACATCGCCACCCAACTTTGGTGGTGGGCAGCTTCGCTTTCGTTCAACTCAATAATAAGCCTAACCTAATTAGGCTTCGTGTAGCTCACCACTCTAAGTATATATGTATATATATAGCTGTAATACATATCATCCAGTAAAAGTTAACCTGGAAGGAATTAAGATATGGCTAACTCTCACCATCACTTGTATCTGTAAATCATGTGCAACTTTGAATTCAATGATCTAGAAGAAAGTTTGACATAGCCACGAGGGAAAAAGCATTTCTCAGACAGCGGAGCGGGCTAATAATATTATTCTGCTTAGTAAAGTGCGCTCAACTGAAGTGCCCCGGTACTCTGTTTCAATATTTATCCAAAACTGGCGGAGAGCTGAATCTACACACGCAGTAGACAGTGGCCAGTTGGACATAGCCCACAACTATGTATCCCTAAGACGAGTAACAAAGAGGGGTCTGAGAATACAAATATATCGCTCACCAACCAGTGGTAGATACAAACCCATTATGTAAATGGAGTGCAAAATCAACCACAGCGGAGGGTTTCTAGCTGCGAACATAGGCACTGGATGCTTTGTGCCTGAGAATGCTCACCGATTTGTCTCTAATTGTCACCTCAAACGAGGAATACCGACGCCTAAAACTCGGTATCATGCTTAAATAGTTTATGAATTGCGGTAATCAGAGTGCCATTCGACTTGTAGTTCAGTCACACAGGTTTGAACATCTCTGTCCACGCAGCACTGCGCAAATCTGGTGGAGCAACCGAACGAGTAGTGCTGAGGTTAGACGCAGAGGTTTAGGTAACCGCCCACTGGAGCAAGTGGCCGACTTACATAGATTACGTTGGGTGGGGCATGTGTTACGCATGTCACCAAATAGGTTGCCGCGGCGCGCGATGTTTGCCGAGGAAGAGAGAGGGTGAAAAAACAAGGGTGATGAAAATGAGACTTGATACGAGTGTATTAGAAGGCTACCCAAGACACTCGGTCATTGAGGTCGCGTTAGGCTTCCTGAATAGGGGGACTGAGTGATATGGCCGCTCCTACTGGTCAATACCCGTGGACACGGACCATGCTCTGCTACGAGCGCGATTCTCCCTAAGCCTGATAACCGCAGAAAAGCCAACGAAAAGGGATGCCCAAAATACAGTACCAGCGACGGTTGCAAATCGGCCTTCGAAGAGTTTCAGTTTGAACAACCATTAACCATGCACTTTCGTGCGCCGGTTTAGGTTGCTGTCTTTTGGCTGCCCATTGAGATGAAGAATAGGAGAAGAGAGGAAAGTTGAAAGTGGAGTAGGTTGCTGTCTTTTGGCTGCCCATTTGGATGAAGAATAGGAGAAGAAAGGAAAGTTGACAGTGGATTCGAAAAGAAAATGGAGAAGTTCAGTGGTCTAAGGCTGCAAAGAAATTGAGAAGATGCAAGAACGCCACTGTTTACGACACCCAGCCATATCGCTCTGGACGACAATCAAGGAAGCGATTCAAACGTCGGTCAAAACAACGGCAAATTCCGGCGCATGATCAAATAAAAAGCAATAGATCTCACCGACCTCGGTTGCCCTGCTGGACGATCGAAAAGCCATTCCTTCGGATTCAAAATACGACAAAGCGCGCAAACCCCTTAAACGCCAGCTCATCAAGAGTCTGAGGAATGATCGTGAGAAGTGGTGGGTAGGGAACTATGTAGAGATGGAGAAGGCTGAGGCTATTGGTAATAGTCGAAAACTTTTTTGTTTAATTAGGAGTACGGGATCAAGGAAAGTAGGCCTAAGTGAGGTAATAAAGGAGTCTGACAGCACACTGATTCAAACGCAGGAACGCCGTCTTGAATGTTGGGCAGAACAATTTAAGGCGCAGTTCAGCTGGTCCCCGTCGACACAAAACCCCCCTCTACCAGCTTTAACTGTGCAAATACTGTCAGTTAACACCAGTCCTCCATTTGAAATGGAGATTTCCCGGGAAACAAGCTATCTCATACGGCATAAGGCTTCCGACCCCAAAGGGCTGTCCTCATCGGCTTTTAAGGATGGACGCTCAACCGTAGTCTCAGAGTTAA